CCAGTTCTTTTTCTGATGTACGTTTTGTTGTTAACTTTCAGCAATGACATCCTTAGATATTCGTTCACTGCTTGTATTCTCTGCCATTTTTCGAGTTATTTTGATTGTGTATGGAGAGTGGCAAGATACTCATATGGAGGTTAGATACACTGATGTTGACTACCTTGTCTTTTCTGATGCTGCTGCTTTAATGGCTGTGGGTGATTCCCCCTATAAGAGAACCACTTATCGCTATTCCCCTTTGCTTGCCTTTCTTCTCATTCCAAATTCATTTATCCATCGCTCCTGGGGAAAGTTCCTTTTCTCTGCTTCAGGTATGGTCAAGCTTTTGAATGCAATCTCTGCTTACATTCTTTTTCAGTCACCAAGTTAAAGCAAGATTGATGAACTATGTGTGGCATTAATTTTTAAAACTTAAGATATAAAAATTCGGCTCCTTAAGAATGAGGGTTACACTTTAGGGACAAAAGTGCTACTAGACTGGTAAACTGTTAATTGAAAAATCAACCAAGCGAATTTCAACAACTTTATGTTTTGTTATATTATGTCTGTGAATGTTATCACAGTGTCAGTCATTGGTTTTCCAATCATCAGTCACAATTTTGCACTTTTGTCTAGCCTATTGACAGGGCAGCAAATTGTCTTCCTTCCCTGACCCAAGGAGTATGCTTCAATACGAAAACAATAAAGTTGTTGTTTGTTTAAAGAATTGAATGTAATGGCTTACTATTAGTCAACATTAAGCCTAGTGACTGACCTATGGTTGGGGGTAGGAATGATAAGAAGTTGTGTTACTAGATAGAGTATGACCAATTGAATGAGGGCTTCAAAGTCACTCCGAATATTGGAGATAACATGCCTACAGGCATTGGTTTGGGTCGCAACCAATGTAGCCTTGTGTAGTCAGAGAAAAAGGTTATTTCCAATAAAACCAAAATGATGGGAAAGTATAAAAGAAATAGTGTTTGACTTGGGATTTGAAAATTTTTCATTATTTGTGAAAAAGTGACCATTTTTCCCCTTGCATTATTTCAAATCAATATGCTGTTACCTAATGAATATGGTAATTATTTTTCCAGTCATTACACCTAAGCAAATGTCATCTTATAAAATGCAGATATACTTGTAGGATATTTCATATATTATATTCTAAAGCTACGGAAGGCTCCAGAAAATATGTGCAACATTTCTGTCATGGCATGGCTCTTTAATCCATTTACCTTCACCATTGGGACACGTGGAAACTGTGATCCTATTGTTTGTGCAGTGATATTGTGGATCATGATCTGTCTTTTGAAAGGTGTGGTTCTGTATCTGTATTAGCTTAAATTGATATAGTTGGATTGTTTGGTTTGTCATCTTTTAATATGAACACTCCGCATGTTCTAACAACTGGAATAGTTTTTAGATGATTAACTGGTGGCCTTCTCTACAACATAAAGAAGAAAGCACTTTTGATAATAAATTTTATAATCAGTTTACTATTGAGAATCTTTCAAAAATAATTTTCCATCTTCCCATTTTTCCAAACACTGTCCACTGAAAAGCAAAATCTTTTCATTTCATTCTTTGCTCATTAATTTCATCTCCTATTAAACATTCTAAGAGCTAAAATCTAGAGATTTGGTACACTCTTTCTTATACCAACTAGTAGCTAACTTTTAGCTGTGTAATTACTTAAAAAAAATACCTTTTTAATCTTTTGTGTGAGTAGGACACATAAGGACGAGTCTTACATTTGATTTTGCTTGCTAATTGGTTGATAAGGCAGAGAGAGGTTGGTCATTATGGGATAAACTATCCAAAATATACACATACACACACACACATACTTATACACTTGATTTGTGTAAGGAAATACTATTACNTATTACACAGACATATTCCGTTATATAACAACACAGAAAAACTAAGAACACGTAAATGGCCAGTGTTCGAGACAATGGATAAATAAATGAAAGAAAATAAAAGTAGAAAGGAGAATTTGAGAATGAGGACTGACCGTCAGTGCGGCGCTTGAAGACGTAGCGTTCCATTTGGAAGTCGCAGTTTTTTGTGCCGAGATGCACATCGGCGGCGAGCATCATCTGGATGTCCGTCTCCTTCTGCGAGAGCTGGCGTAAAGGAGCGGCGGCGGAGGAGTCGGCAGCGGCCATGGCTGCGGGAGTCGAAGAGGCGTAGTTGGAGAGGTTGGATTTGAGTAATTAGGGTTTCCGAATATTCTCCTCTATAAACACAAAACCCTAATAATTGCAAATGACGCTAATACCCTCTCTTCATCGAAACGGATGAGGGAAATACAACACAGACAGAAACCCTAATAATATTAAATGACGCTAATACCCTTTTTTCATTCTAACGGACGAGGGAAATACAACAAAGACAAAAACCCTAATAATAGGAAATGACTTTCATTTAATTCAAACCGCCCGACATAAATTTTTGGTCGAATTATTCTAAATTGTAATAATTACATGAAGATAAGTAGAATATGTAATATCTCAGTTAAATAGTTAAAATATTATTTAGGATTTATCACACATCTTAATATGATAACAAAGTTATCAAAGACATACAAAGTATTATAGTTATCTAAATATAACCATAAATTAAATTTTATAAATAACATTTTAAACCAAAAACTATACATGAAGGATTTTCAAATATACAATCAAAATTTAAACGCATGAGAACTAATATTTATAATTATATTATCATTACCTGAAACTTGCTCGAGAGACACATCTCTACCCTCTACTCATACCTACCAATATAATCATAACTGAAACACAAAAGTAACAAGAATACCCAAACACATAAGGAAACAAACAAGGTAAACTAGTGTAAACAGAATTATCATAGAATAATTAAGACTTCAACACATATCACAATTCCAAGCCAAGTAATCAAACATCCTAAAAACATATAATAAACGTTGACTTGACTCGTCCAAATATAGTATAAATGTCAAACTATGGTGGTTCATGCATTTGTAGTGGTGAAATAACCGGTCCATCCCAAGTTACCACACAAAGTTAGTCCATTAAACAATGTCTTTGGCTAAGGTAAAGTCCCTCAACTAAGACCTCCTGCTACTCTCACCACATGTTTCACCCCTCTTTACTTGAGAATGGATAACCGTCAGAGTGTCAGAATAAACCAATAGTACTTAGCTTCCTACATTCATACTAACAACACTTGAAACCACCAATAAGAATTTCACCTTAGAAATTCTTTTCAAACCACACTTTACCTCAATCATAACTTCATTCATGAATCATTCAAACGTTTCATATATTATACCAAACACACATTAAATCATCAGTGAAATCATTATTCACATAATCACAAAAGAAAGAAACTCAAAACTCATCAAAGGAACATGCTCAATTTTACTATTCTTTTGCTCCTCACTATAATTATCGCAAGAAAATACATGCTCAATTTTGAGCTCCCACTCCAAGTAAGNTCCCTTCGGGTAGATTTCAAGATCTTGTAGGCAAGTTGGGAATGATTGATATTCATTTACCAACTTGAGGGGGAGTGTTGTAATTAGAGTAAATATCTATAGAATGTTCTTAATTAGAGAAAATATCTATAAAATCTTCCTAATTAGAGAAAATAGGTGTATGATCTTCTAGATTATTTTTTAGTACTTTGTTTCCTGATTTCCCGTTTTTAGAAGATTAGATTATTTTATGAATGAAAATAATAAAATCATTCTCTTTTTCAAGTTAGTAGAGTTCCTACTATAATTAAAGAATTGCATGAATCACCTCTAGGAGGTCACAGACTTTCACACTCTCAAAAGAATAGTTGGAGTTTTATACTTGGAAGGTATGAGAAGAGATGTTAAGGCTTTTGTAATGCAGTGTGAACATGGCCAATATTAACATCCTCTTGATCATGTTGTCAACTGAATTAAGTTATACCTATTAGTGTGTGATTTTATGGTTTCACTATAATGCATATTTATACTTACTATGTTAAATTTTAGAGCTGCATAGCTTAAAATCCTGGCTCTATCATTGCTGGTTGATACACAATGAAAACCCTTTTTTCGTAAAAGGTAGAAGCATTAGATATTTGCCTATCTCTTGGTGCCTTAATGATATGCCTTTTTTCACTTTTTGTCTCTGGTTTGCAGGTAATGTGTTACAGTCAGCATTTTGGTATGGACTTGTTGTCCATTTCAGGATTTATCCTATAATTTACTCTATTCCTATAATCCTGGTTCTTGATCCGAACTTCTTCCCATCTAATCAGAAACCTGTCCTAAGGAACTGGAGTGCTGTTCAAGGAGAGAGACCTAAAGATGGAAGTGGCTCGCATACTTTACACAATCTATTTAAAAGCATATTCACGTGGAACAGGGTGGTATTTGGATTGGTCTCAGGATTGGTTTTCCTCTTTTGTACTGGTCTTTTCTACTGTTTATATGAGTGGGAATTCCTACACGAGGCTCTGTTGTACCATCTTACTAGAACTGATCCAAGGCATAACTTCTCCATCTATTTCTATCACATATATCTTCATTATGGGTATGATACTTCAGTGGTGGAAAAGCTTATCTCCTTTTTGCCCCAATTTTTGGTTCAGCTGGTTCTTATCTTCTGCTTTGCACAAGATTTGCCATTTTGCATATTTGTGCAGACCGTGGCCTTTGTGGCATTCAATAAGGTTTGTCAAGTTACATTTAATTAAAGTCCCGCTTGTGGACTTCAGAGAATCAGATTGTTTATTTTAAGCAGAGTCATATCTGTAGTGGAGGCTTGGAGGCCTTTTGGTTATGGTCCCTTTTGCATGTTTCCTTATATTATAACACATCTGATTTCTGTATATTTTGCAGGTGATTACAGCTCAGTATTTTGTTTGGTTCTTTTGCTTGTTGCCTCTAATACTTCCTTGGAGTAAAATGAAACTTAGATGGGATGGGTTATCTTGCATTCTTTTGTGGATTGGGGCTCAGACCCATTGGTTGATGTGGGGCTACCTGCTTGAGTTCAAGGGTAAAAATGTCTTCTTGCAGCTTTGGGCAGCAAGCTTACTGTTTCTAGCAGCCAACATATACATCCTTGTCATGATTATTCGTAACCATAGATATGCTTCAGTTTTCAAAGCTTTAGAGTATGCTAACTCCAAGAATGCAGCTAAGCTTGAGTGAGTGACCTTGACGCTAAATGATTTCAATTCAATTTTTATTCTTGTGCTTATTACATGTTGCCCTCTTCTGTTTTTGGAAGTTAACAATGCAAATTCATGACTGCAGTTGAAGTTGAGAATCAACAATCATGTCAAAATTCGTGGACTATTATATTTTAAACGTGAAAAACAAATTGGTGAAATCGATGTATTCTTGTTATGTTAATCCTGTAATTTTTTTTCAATGCATTATCTTAATCAATGAATATGTTTTTATCGCTGTCAGCCTTTTGTTAAATTGTTATTGATCTGAACTTGTAGAATTGACCTTAAGATCTTTCGAGAAACTCTCCTTATTCTCCTCTGCTGTATTTGAAAACATGTCAGTTACAATTTACAAATTGATGTTTAATCAAGGGTCAAAATTCCTGCCAAGTAACCCCTGAATCTGAACTAGTTTTAAGGACCAAACTTGCCCACTGGTTTTATCCCTAAATCTAGACGGTAGGGCCANTGGGCTTAAATATAATTTTGTTTTTATTTTTAATTAGTGTATTTCACGTGTCGTTTTAGTTAATAAAGTTTTAATTTTGTTAATTTTAATAATTATTTTGTTCTAATTTTGCATATTATTTTTTATCAATTAGAACTTTTTGATATAACTTCTGATACATTTTCCTTAGTTTAGTAAGTCATATACTTCTACATAGTTAACTGTTACTTTGTTATTAGATAGTGTTAAAATCATATTCTAGAACTAGTGCAGTGTTAAAATTAGTACAATTCAGTTTAAAATTAGTACAATTAATAGTTCAGTTCAGTTTATATTGTAGTTTTAGTTTAGTACAATTTAGTATAGTTTAGTTCAGTTTGATATAACAAAAACAGTTCAGTTCAATTTGTCTGAACTGTTTTATAGTTTAGACAAATTAGTTTTAATACAACTTTTAGTAGTGCAGTTCAGTTCAGCATTTGTTTATCCCTACATGTATACACATGATCCAGGAATAATTCAAAACATGAAATTCAACCAATTGAAGGACATAATACTTGAAAATCCATGTCATTTGGAAATTGATATAAAATTGCATAAATTATATAATAGAAGCTGAAGAATCATTGTTGGTGACTTTCAACATCTTCAAAAACTTTAGATTCATCAATAATTCTCTCATGACCAAAAATATCTTCTACAATTTCATCTATCATAATCAATTGAAATACAATCAAACTACTAGTATAGAGTTAATAATTTAATATAAAATAATGTTAAAAATAATAACATATAAACTTACCATTAGGGTTTTCAGAAAACTCATACAACCAATTTTGACTACAAATCACATTTGCATATGTTCAGAAAGAATGGAACTTCTATATTTTAAAAATACATACCCATCAAACTGATTCTAATGTCACTGTAGCAATGAAAATAATAAATACATCTTGAATCATTATAAACAATATAACAAATTTTTTTAGTTTTTTAATATTTAAGCACGTCAAAATCTTCACTTTCTTCGTCATATTGTTGGTATTTTTTTTTTCTGTACAACCAATATGCTATTAGCAATGCCTAACATCAACTTTTTGATAAGAAAAAATTGTAATTACCAGTATTATTTTTCTCTTATAATCTTAATAATTACATTGTTGAAATCATTTATCATATTTTAACCTTTAACTACCACTTTTAATTAGCTGTTACAACTTTATTTATACTCTGCAAATCATTTAGCTTCTCCTAGAGCAATTTATCTTTTCAGTTCATTTACAACTTTATATATATATATATATATATATA